CAACTTTATGCTTTCATAGAGTTGGCAAAATAATATATGACAGAAAAGCTGTATCCTCTTTTGGAAACTCTTCAGCCTGGACCGGTTTTGTTAAGCCTTCTTAAAGTTGAATACAGTAAAGTTTTAATTGGAGAAATCTTACTCTTTTCCTGGTACACAGGCATAATTCACTGCCCTAGGTCTTAGAGTAGCATTCAGAATTGATGCCTCAAATTATCACTACCAAGTCATATGCATTAATGGACCTGAGAAAAATCTTTACAAGACAAATGCAGAGTCAGGGGCCCTTTTCACTAATTCTTCCTCTAAAGACAGCTAGATATGAAGTGACGTAAGTCAGGGATTCCAAGAAATCTTGAAGTTACAGCCTGATGGGTACTTCCTTAGGGCACCGGAATGGCTCTCTACATTGTCAGTAGCTTTGACTTGATGAACGTCATCTTTGTTCAGAGCCTTTAAGTGGTCATACTGTGAAGTTTACCCCATCTTTATTCTGGAGATAGCAAAAGCAAGGGCATCCAGGTTGAAATGTAACTAGTTGGGCAATTTTGTGGGGAAGTTTGATTCTGCCATGTCCCATGCCATGTAAATTCAAGAGTATGGTCAGAGTAATAGTACACCCTTTGGGAAGGTACATAGATAATATTCTAATTATCTTTCCCAATTTCAACTAATAACCCTTTTTTATGAGTTCTAATGAGTTCCGAGAGCCACCAGGACTTACCCAATTTTGAGTTGCATTGTATTATTTACTTTGACCAACAAGCTTATGACACATTATTAATTTTTGACTAACCAGACTCTATTTTTCCCCTAAAACATAACTCTATTCATAAGTTATTTTGTTAAAGAATTTTTAATGTTCTAGAGAAGTTATGCACATTTCTCAGTGTCTGCCTACACTATTGATTTCCAGATCACTATTTTTAGCACCTTACAGTTCTACATTTTACATTCTTTGCTCCTCTTACTAATTGGAACCAGGATTGATGTTACCTGCTCTCTATTCACGTTGAAAAGCATCAAAACAAAAGCAGGCATTTGGGTTTGAGATGAATTTCCTACATTTGAGCTGATCCCTGAACTGCTCTTGATGGAATACTTTCAAATATATTTCCAATGCAAATATGAAAATGTGATCAGACTAAAGTCTATAGCAAGGCATTTGGCAGAGTTGTACATATTTATTACCCATTCATTTGTCCAACAAATATTTACTTATTTATTGCTTTTAGGCTAGATGTCTATTCACACATTTATTTAACAAATAAATTCACACATTCATTCCACAAAGATAGTGAGCTAGTCAATTATGGGCTAGATAAACTGTTTGACAAAATGCTAGATATTAATACAAATGACAGATTATTCAACCTTAAGGAACTCAGAGTTCAATGAGACAACATATAGTATTGTCTTATAATTATATATATACATAAAATTGCCATATACATATATAACAGTCTATATAATTATATAGGGTTTCTCTGGTGGCTCAGTGGTAAAGATTCCACCTGCAATCCAGGAGACTGCCTGCGATGAAGGAGACGTGGGTTTGATCCCTGGGTCAGAAAGATCTGCTGAGAAGGAAATGACAATCTACTCCAGTATTTTTGTCTGGGAAACCCCATGGACAGAGGAACCTGGTGGGCTACAGTCCATGGGGTCACAAAGAGTTGGACATGACTTAGTAACTAAGCCACCACTACCATAATTATATATATATAATTGCCACATACATATATAACATATATAATTGCCTATGTAATTATATATATATATAATTTCCATATTTAATTGCCTATAATTGCTTGAAAGTGAAAAATAGTATGATTAGTGTAATCATATAAAGTGATTACGAGAACACAGGAAAGTGAGAACGGATATCTCTGTTTCTAGATGTTTAGGAAGGCTGCTCAGAGGGTCTGACACTTGAGGTGGGCCCTGAAGATGAAGCAAAGATTCAACAGACAAGAAGAGCCAGGTGTAATTCTCAAAAAAAGAAAACCACACTTTGAGAATGATGAGTGGACCATACAGGATGTGGTCTGATGAAGAAGCAGGAAGGGAGACAGAAAATTATGCTGGGCTTCATGATGATAGGTCTGCCCACCTCTTACATTCCCAAAAGAAAATTGCATAAACATGTTGAATAAGATAAGACATACATTATATATACATGAAGATAATAAATGTGCATTTAGAGTCTATTGTTTATAAAACAATGTGCAAGCCCAGTGGAACAACAAAGACTTACACAGGCACTATCTATGTCGCTCTCAATTGATGTCCTGCTGTGAATGTAAGTTACTGTTTTATGGTATTTGTGTGGACGGAAATGTTTGTACAGCTTGGCTCTACCACTAGATCGTAAATTTCTGAAAAGTCTAAATACAAGACCATATATTTTGCTTCTTTGTATTCTTCCAACATCAACTGTGGTGCCTTTTACATAGTAGATGCAGGATAATTACATTCTGAAAGAAAAGATGAAAGAGTAAGTTTGCCATCTAATTGAGGTGGCATTATTACACATACAAGAAGCTAAATAACAACACACACGACATCACACAGCAGTAGGTAACAGAGGGCCAAACATACGCTTGAGATAGTAAAACCTGAGAGGTCACAATGGACACTGAAGCATTAGCTGCTCAGTCATGTCCGATTCTTTGCGACCCCACGGACTATAGCCTGCCAGGGTCCTCTGTTCATGGGAATCTCCAGGCAACAACACTGGCGTGTGTAACCATTCCCTTCTCCAGTGGATCTTCCCAACCCAGGAATGGAACCCAGGTCTCCTGCACTATAGGCAGAGTCTTTACTGTCTGAGACACCAATAGTTTTGAGAGAAGTAAACTTTTCTTTGAAGAATAAATCAGATTTTCAAAGGAGAAAAAAGATCAGCAGATTTAAGTAGCTCAAGATGTCAGGATGAAAACTTTCAAATACAGGACTCATCTAAGACTGCTTAAAAACTTTGCTAAGAGAAAGTGGGTAATGGGTCTAAGGTTGTAATCTTCCCCACTGACAAAACTAGATCAATTAGCTCAGTCATATTCTCTTGCCCATGTCTATACCCCCAAAGTTAAAAAAACTCATATGACACAAATGAACATATTGATGAATCAGAAACAGACTCATAGAGAGACTCACAAAGAGAAAAAGATTTGTGGTTAGTAAGGGGGAAAGAGGGTGGGAGAGGGATGGATTGGATGTTTCGGATTAGCAGATGCAAACTACTGTATACAGAGGATGAATAAACAACAATGTCAAACTGTATAGAACAGAGAACTATATTCAATATCTTATGATAAATCATAGTAGAAAAGAATACAAAAAGAGTGTGTGTGTATATATATATACATACAAAAAGGAATGTGAGTGTACACACACACACACATATAACTGAATCACTTTACTATATAGCTGAAATTAACACAACACTGTAAATCAACTATAATTCAATAAAAAAAATAAACAACAAAAAACAATACTACTCTACAATCCATGCTGTTTGTTGAGAAAGGAAGCCAGATGAGAAGCTGTTGATGAAGACTTACAGCTCAGTCCTATTACTGAAAAGCAAAAAACCACCCAATCAAAATACATGGTTGCCCTATCCACTGTTTCCATAATAAAGGATTATTTTTCATATTTTTAGAAGATGAATAGAAGGTCCACGGCCAGCATTATCATTTGTATCCAGAGTCCCCCAGAATTAATAGACATTTTGCAACTAAAGCAAACAGAGACAGGGAGACTTAATTGGAACAAAAATACGGCATGCAAAGGTGGAGCATGCACACCACTGGCAGGCTCTCCCAGCAGGAGGCACCGTCATTAACCTGCCAGCCACCCATGTGACCGGTCAGTGAGTCAGACACACAGCGACAGCTATGTGGGCAGCACTGGGGACAGCCGAAGTCAGATTCCCAAATAAATTACTTATGTCCGGGTAGGCCTCTAATGGCAATGCCTCATCACATGAAGGGAGAAGAAAAAATAAAAAGCCCACAGGAAAAAGGGATTACTACCCTTCACACGTGATGGGTCCCTATGCACCAAAGCCATGAAGGCACATAGTGGCAATGGATAGACAGTCCCTCAGCCCAGCTGGAATCATTTATGAAGTCAGGCGCTTTCTGCATGTAAGGATCTGTGCTCCAGGGGAGAATTCACCTGCCCATGTGCTTGTGCTGAGTTGCTCAGTCCTGTCTGACTCTTTGTGACCCTTTTCGACTAGCTAGCCCACTCGGTTTTTTGATGCTTTCAAACTGTGATGTTGGAGAAGATACTTGAGAGTCCCTTGGACTGCAAGGAGATCCAACCAGTCAACCCTAAAGGAAATCAATCCTGAATATTCATTGGAAGGACTGGTGCTGAGGCTGAAGCTCCAATACTTCAGCCACCTGATGAGAAGAGCTGACTCATTGGAAAAGACCCTGATGCTGGGAAAGATTGAGGGCGGGAGGAGAAGGTGACCGCAGAGGATGAGATGGTTGGATGGCATCACTGCCTCAAGGGATGTAAGTTTGAGCAAGTTCTGGGAGATGGTGAAGGACAGGAAAGCCTGGCGTGCTGCAGTCCATGGGGTCACAAAGAGTCAGACACAACCGAGTGACTGGACAACCACCACCACCACCAGGCTACTCTGTCTATGGGATTTTTTCAGACAAAAATATTGGAGTGGGTTGCCATTTCCATCTCCAGGGGATCTTCCTAACCCAGGGATCGAACCCATGTCTCTTGCATCGCAGGTGGATTTTTTTACCTGCTAAGCCATCGGAAAGCCCACCTGTAGATGAGCAAATGGAAACTGCCATAGGGGCAGTGCAGGTAGATGCTGTAAGTCAATGATGCTCAAATTGTAGTATCCAAAATAGAAGCATCAGATTCCCTGGGAAACTTTGAAATGCAAATCCTTGGCACCTCAGACCAACCAACTGAATCAGAAACACTGCTAGTGGGGCCGAGGAATCTATATTTTGTAAACTCACCAGGTAATTCTACTACAAGATCAAACTGAAGGATCACTGTAGTAAGCATAAGGAAAGGAAAGGATTTATATAATTTATAACCCATTGTGGTCAGGGTCATCCGCTGAGAGGTCGCCATGATGAGGGAAGTACTGCCTCCTTTTCTCTAAAGGAAAACACTCTTTTCACATCGACTTACTAATTCATTCAACCTGGCAAGCATTCACTGAATATTCACTGCCTGCTTGGTATCATTCCAGGCATTGGCCAAGGAAAAAATAACAAAATGCAGCCCTCTCTTTAAGGATTATAAAGCCTAGTGGGGCAATAACTAGCCTTTTTCTCTGCATCCCTTTTGCATGCCAGGCATTTACATAATATGTTTTTAGTTACTGTTCATTAAATTGAGATGACCCATAAGTTACAAAACAATTCCTTGGTTCAACTTATTGATTTTAGATGAAAGTTTACCAGTGTTTGTCATTCATTATAATACACTATTTTATTTTATTGAAAATTCTCCATAATGAAGTAAAAAGGCAACTGCTCTGTTGATTAAATATTTATCCCAAAGGGAGTTGTAAGAGCTATAGGAATTAATATTGAACCAAAGAGCTTTTGCTGAACAATGAATAAAGATGCTGATACCATCTCAGGACTTTTTTCAGCTGGCTCAGTTCAACTTCTAGAAACTATACCCTTTCTGAGTTAACCTCTAGGCTTCCTCTACAGAGGGGTCAAGAAGAGGTTTAGAGCAACTAGTTGGCAGACCCAGATGCTGAGAATCAACATCATCTTACAATAAATCTCAGTCAGGAGAACTAGGAGAGGTCACATGGTTGAAGTTTTTCTGATTTTCGTTTTTGTTCGAACACTTAGAACATGCACCCTTGATATGCGAACTTGTTCTATATCTTTTCAGGGGATGGTGCCAGGTTTATCTAAGGCTATTTATTGTATTACTTCATGGCAAATAGATGGGAAAACAATGGAAACAGTGAGAGATTTTATTTTTGGGGGGCTCCGAAATCACTGCAGATGGTGACTGCAGCCATGAAATTAAAAGACGCTTGCTCCTTGAAAGAAAATCTATGACCAACCTAGACAGCATATTAAAAAGCAAAGACATTACTTTGCCAACAAAGGTCAATCTAGTCAGAGCTATGGTTTTTCCAGTAGTCATGTATGGATGTGAGAGCTGGAATATAAAAAAAGTTGAGTGCCGAAGAATTGATGCTTTTGAACTGTGGTGTTGGAGAAGACTCTTGAGAGTCCCTTGCACTGCAAGGAGATCAAATTAGTCAATCCTAAAGAAAATCAGTCCTGAATATTCATTGGAAGGACTGAAGGTGAAGTTGAAACTCCAATACTTTGGTAACCTGATGTGAAGAACTGACTCCTTGGGAAAGACCCTGATGCTGGGGAAGATTGAAGATGGGAGGAGAAGGTGATGACAGAGGATGAGATGGTTGGATGGCATCACCGACTCAATGGACATGAGTTTGAGCAAGCTCTGAGAGCTGATGAAGGACAGGGAAGCCTGGCGTGCTGCAGTCCATGGGGTCACAAAGAGTCAGACACAACTGAGCGACTGAACTGAACTGAAATGACTGAAGTTAATGGGCTTTCCTGGTGGTTCAATTAAAGAATCTGCATGCCAATGCAGGCGACTCAGGTTGAATCCCTGAGTTGGGAAGATCCCCTGGAGAGGGAAATGGCAACGCACTCCAGTATTCTTGCCTGGGAAATCCCATGGACAGAGGAGCCCTATGGGCTACAGTTTGTGGGGTTGCAAAAGAGTAGGGCACCACTAAGCAACTCAACAACTGAAGTGCACAGTCAATCACATTTTATTGCCCCAAACACAAGGACATAGCTAAATCAGGCAACATGTAGAGTAGGGCAGCATTCATTTTCTTTCCTGCTTTCAGTTCAGTTCAGTCGCTCAGTCGTGTCCGACTCTTTGCAAGCCCATGAACCACAGGACACCAGGCCTCCCTGTCCATCACCAACTCCCGGAGTCCACCCAAACCCATGCCCATCAAGTTGATGATGCCATCCAACCATCTCATCCTCTGTCATCCCCTTCTCCTCCTGCCCCCAATCTTTCCCAGCATCAGGGTCTTTCCCAATGAGTCAGCTCTTCACATCAGGTGAGCAAAGTATTGGAGTTTCAGCTTCAGCATCAGTCCTTCCAATGAACACCAGGACTAATCTCCTTTAGGATGGACTGGTTGGATCTCCGTGCAGTCCAAGGGACTTTCAAGAATCTTCTCCAACACCACAGTTCAAAAACATCAATTCTTTGCCACTCAGCTTTCTTTATAGTCCAAATCTCACATCGATACATGACCACTGAAAAACCATAGCCTTGACTAGACAGACCTTTGTTGTGAAAGTAATGTCTCTGCATTTTAATATGCTGTCTCGTTTGGTCATAACTTTCCTTCCAAGGAGTAAGCGTCTTGTAATTTCATTGCTGCAATCAACATCTGCAGTAATTTTGGAGCCCAGAAAAATAAAGTCAGCCCGTGTTTCCACTGTCTCCCCATCTATCTGCCATGAAGTGATGGGACCAGATGCCATGATCTTAGTTAACTGATGTTGAGCTTTAAGCCAACGTTTTCACTCTCCTCTTTCACTTTCATTAAGGGGCTCTTTAGTTCTTCTTCACTTTCTTGCTTTAAAGGTTATTAAATAGGAACCTTAGAAAAGGTGCACAATTTGCCTGGCATCATACAATCCACCAGTCTCAACACTGGTGCTTGCATTTGAAGTGCTATCATTCCTGGGTCTATTAAAGAGACACCACCCTCTCCTCAGAACATGGGGAAAGCTGGCCTCATGGTCCGTAGGTGATTAGACGTCACCTACTAACACATACAACCACTAGGTATGTACGATCTACTATGCCATCCATTTGGTGTGGCCCGTCCAGGGATTTTTCCTGACCTCATAAATCTGTGGAACAAGCCTTACAAACATGAGCTATTCTGTGTGAGAGAACAATGAGCTCTGGGCTGGAGCAGAGTCAGCAGAAAAGAGAAAAGCAGACACCCAGGTACAATCAGTGGAGATGACAGGCCAGGAGGAGCTGTGACCCAGCAAAGATGGGATGCCCCGAATGTGGGGGAAATACTTTGGTTTAGGTTTGCCAGAATAACAGGAAGGGAGATCCTAGGCCCAGAACGGGACCGGCTTACACTGCTTGGTAAGAACCCCAGGATGTCTCAGATCGCCCGGCTTCTCCACTGGACTTTGTCTCTCCTCTGTCAGCTTAGAAACAGCTAGGAGAGCCTATGCCCTTGTAACTGAGCCACTCCATTTGGCAGATGCTCTCATGATGCATTTCTGGCCTGAGAATCTGTGGCTTTCCTGAAGGGAGCCTGGGACACATGTTCTTCACTCTGAAGCAGCATAAAAGTCTCTTATTCCTCTGCCGATACCAGCAAAAGCTCACAGCCCATGAAACCAGTCAAATCCAAAGTCCACGCATCCAGCAATGCTGCAGGCAAAACCTTGGTCCTCTCTCTCTGACTCAAACAGCCCGCGGCTATCTGAGCAGCTTTGTGACCATAATTGCTGGGTGGATAATAGCATCATTGTCTTCAGCAGAATAAATGCCCCTTTCCTAGCCAATAGTAGATTTCTATCTAAACGTCAAAATATTCTGTTTTGGTTTGGATTTTCCTGTGTTCCCGCAGAACCTGCCTGCTTTTAATTGTGGTGTTAGACCTCTGAAAGCTTGGGTTGGCAACCTCAGCAAACAGAAAACAAACAACGGATTGTTGCCTATTTAACCGCATCAGTAGCTTTGGCTCACACTGTTGACGGATGCTATAGGGTGCTGTCTTTGCCGCTCCTGTTTCCCCGTTTATTTTATTCCTGATGACTTAGCTGCAGGCTCTGCGTCTGGGAATTGGAAGGGAGGATGGTCTCTTTCTCAAAGCGAGTTGCCAATCTGTCAGATACCCCTGCAGCTCAAAGGTTTTCATTAACTATTTTTCAGACAAACCTTCACTCGGAACAGCTCATTATGGCTGCTCTCTGATGTCACTTGGTCCAGCCTAAACCTTAGGTTCAAAACCTGTGCTATTAAGGCCCCTGGAGTTTACCTGAAAACTAGTCTTTGCCAGGAAACAGGGTCCATGTGACCTAGCTAGCACAGGTGTTCATCATTAGATGAAGGCCTGGGAAGCTGCAGGAAATAATTCCTAAAGGCCTGGCTTCCAAAAGCCAGCTGCCCATTGACTCTGGGCTTTTTTTTTTTTTTTAATATTGGAAATGGTAAGTAGAATGATTCCAAATCTGTTGCGAACAATATCTGAGTAAGGGAAAGCTGAAGGCTAGTGTTGTTTTTTCTAAAATATTTGTTTACTTGGCTGTGCTGGGTCTTAGTTGCAGCACACAGGATCTTCAGTAGCAGCATGCAGCATCTTTGGTTGCAACATGTGGGATCTAGTTCCCTGACCAGAGATTGAACCCAGGCCCCCAGCATTGGGAGCTTGGAGTCTTAGCCACTGGACCACCAGGGAAGTCCCAAGGCTAGCGTCGTTAAACACATCCATAGAGAGATGAAGTCCAGATGCCTGGATGCAGGAGTAGAAATCTATCAGAACTAAGTCTTTCTGATAGTTGGGCTTAGAAATGAGCTTTCCAAGCTGCATCTGTTGTTTTTAACTCATAGTCTTAGAAAAGATATTGGATGCAGCCAATGAGGATAAATGAGGTACCTACCATGAGATAAGCCGCAAACCTAGGGCCACGTGGCACAAAACAAGCATGATGTAGATTGAGAAGCACTCTATGGATTGAAAGTTAAAATGCATGTTTAGGGAAACAGCACAGAGATGTGTACATCATGGAACCTGAGTCCAAAAGGGACTTTAAAGATAATCTAGTCCAGGAACTCCCAATTCTGGATGTACCTTAGAACCTAGGTGACTGGTCTGTGGCTGGGAGTCCGAGTCACCAGAACAATGGTTTTCTCCAAGTTTCATACACTTCAGAACTTGGGGGGACCCTATTAAAACATAGATTTTGGACCTCAGCCCCAAAGATTCCAGTTCGGTAGGTTTTGCCCAGGGGCCACACATTTGCACTTGTGAGATGCTCCCTGGCAGTGCTGATCCAGGTGGT